ATAAAAAAATTTTCTTTTGAAACATGAAATGCTGTGCTGCAAGGTATGTTGACTTGCAATCTGTTAAAATAGCTTTGGAAGATGGTGAGCTTCTGTATTATTTTGTTGTTGAGAGAAAGCATATCTGCAAATAGGCTGATTATGGTTTATCCTTGTCTTGCTGAATGCGAAGTCTTCCTTACTGAGACAGTGACTGTCTTTTGAAAATTGATCTCCTAACTGCCTGCTCCTATTGGGGGATGGGGGGAGGAAACGGTTGCTTCAGAAGCCTTTTTGAAAAACAGTTCAATGAATCGGGTGGTAAAATGCCTTCCACATTGCCCAAATTGCAGTATCAGAATTGTAATCTTTTTGTTTTTTTCCATTATGAGACCTGACTCGGAGCACCCTTAAACCTGTGAGACTCCCGGTATTGACTTCATTGAATTTATGTCAGATGTCTGTCTTTGTAGGTATATACAGAACTTCACAGAGACAGAGTATGTGTTTCATGGTGGTATCAGCCTACCACAAATGGATAAGTTTAAACTACCACAGTCATGGGACAACCACATTGATAATAAAAACGTGCATTTACGTGCATAACAGGTACCTCAGCAGAACTGGCAGGGCTTTTTGAAGATTTTTTTGTTGTTTATTTAGGCAGAAACGGAAAGAAAAACGCCAGAAGAGAAAACTAGAACGTCAGTCAAGATTGCACTCCAATAACGAAGGGAATGACAGAAAGCGAATGCGAAGGGAAGTTGTTCCTAGTACGCTTCGCCTTATTGTGGACTGCAGCTTTGATGACTTGATGGTGCTAAAGGTAAAAAGCTTACCTATCACAGATAAATGTTGAAAGATTCTCTAGTGGCAGCGTTGATGCCATGTCAGAGCACAGAAACTTGATAGTTTTGGAGATGCTGTCTGGGTATTTCCTGCTAGACTTCGCCCTTTGTAAAACACTTGGTCAGGCAGAGCCCCTGTTACGGCTGATATAAGCATGACACTTCTGCAGGTGTTTAGGAAGGGTGAAGCATGGTAACTGAAGATGGTTGGGGCCTTTAGCAGTGGGCTTAATTAGAGGCTTTCTCTAGTGTCTGTAAAAACTTGCATTGCAATATTGTAGCAATAAAGTCTAGTTTACTTGAAATCCTTTGAGATACCAAAACATCCTAAAAGCACTACATGAATCAAAGCAATATAGTGATGTTTCATTTTAAAATGGGAATCAGTTATATTTACAAAACACTGCTTTTGAGGCACGGAGAATAAAGCTATGTAGTGTACCTTACAGAAAACATAATTGGTTAAAAATTAAGTGTGCTGCATTTTAAGTAGTACTAGTTAACTGTTGTCAAAATGTCGGAGCCAGCCACTAAATTATTTTCATTGTTCTGGCGTTCTTAATTTTTTTTTTTTTTAAGCTGAAGAACAATATTGTCACAGTGATAAATCTGCTTGACTCCTCAGATTCATTTTGAGTATGTTATTACATATAATTAAATCCTAGTGATTTTTGTTGGTTTTGTTTCCTCGAATAATGCAAATCAATCATAGAATTGAATAATGCAAATCGGTCATAGAATCATTTAATCTGGAAAAGATCTTTAAGATCAAGTCCAGACATTAACGTAGCACTGCCAAGTCTACTGCTAGACCATGTCCCTAAGCGCCACGTCTACATGTATTTTAAATACTCCCAGGGATAGTGGCTCAACCACTTTCCTGGGCAGCCTGTTCCAATGCTTGACAGCCCTTTTGGTGAAGAATTTCTTCCTAATATACAATCTAAACCTCTCCTGGTGCAACTTGGAGCCATTTCCTCTTGTCCTGTCCCTTGAGGCTGGGGAGAAGAGACTGACACCCAGTTTGCTACAGCCTCCTTTCAGGTAGCTGTAGAGAATGATAAGGTCTCCCCTGAGCCTCCTTTCCTCCAGGATAAACAACCCCAGTTCCCTCAGCTGCTCCTCATCAGGCTTGTCCTCTAGACCCTTCACCATCTTCGTTGCACTTCTCTGAACATGCTCCAGTACCTCAATATCCCTCCTGTAGCGAGGGGCCCAAAACTGAACACAGTATTCGAATGCTTAGTACAGGGGGACAATCACTTCCCTAGTCCTGCTGGCTGCACTATTTCTGATATAAGCCAGGACACTACTGGCCGCCTTGGCCACCTGGGCACACTGCTGGCTCATATTCAGCCAGCTGTCAACCAACGCTCCCAGGTCCTTTTCTGCCGAGCGGCTTTCCAGCCGCGCTTCCCTAAACCTGTAGCGCTGCATGGGGTTTCTGTGACCGAAGTGCAGGACTCAGCACTTGGCCTTGTTGAACTTCATACCATTGGCCTCAGCCCATCAATCCAGCCCATCCAGATCCCTTGGTAGAGCCATCCTACCCTTGAGCAGATCAACCCTCCTGCCCAACTTGGTGTTGTCTTCAAACTTACTGAGGATGCACTTGATCCCCGTGTCCTGATCATTGATAAAGATATAAACAGAACTGGCCCCAGTACTGAGCCCTGGGGAATGCTTCCTGTGACCAGCTGCCAACTGGATTTAACTGCAGTCACCACAACTCCTTGGGCCCGGCCATCCAGCCAGTGTTCAACCCAGAGAACGGTACACCCATCCAAGCCACGAGTTGCCGTTTTCTCCAGGAGAATGCTGTGGGAAATTGTGTGAAAGGCTTTACTGAAGTCTAGGTAGACGACACCCACAGCCTTTCCCTCATCACCTAAGTGGGTGACCTTATCGTAAAAGGAGATCAGGTTAGTCAGGCAGGGCCTGCCTTTCCTAAACCCATGCTGACTGGGTTTATGAATGAAGCACATGTGTAGAGGTGTCTAAATGCACTTTTGTGGAAGATGCATGTGTTTCCTTGTCAGAATAATCCCTTCACAATAGCTGTTTTTTCTCAGGGTCTAATGCCCACACTCTCAGTAGTTACTTTTGCCAGTTAAAAGCTTCCTTTTTCTTTCTTTAGCTTCTGACTGGCTCATGGTAAAGCATTTTGTGGTGATCTGTCTGAAGGACTATGTAAAAACAAATTGTGTTATATACAGGATGTTAAGAAGCTTCACAAGCAAATTCAGAGATGTTATGCAGAAAACCGCAAAGCGTTTCATCCTGTGCAGGTATGTTTATGCAAGCTAAGCACTGACTGTATTGCCATGTACAAAGCATATGAGAAAGGCAGCTGTGGCCCAAGTGGTGAGAACTGTATTAGAAAAGAAATATTTAAGCTGTCTCTTTTTAATAAGAAAATTACTTCTATTGTAATAGATTAATTTTCAACCCACATGTTATAAAAATCTCTGTATATATGAAAAAGTATGTGCATGCAGATGAAGAATGCCAGATACTCAGTTTTATCTGTGACAGATTAAAAGAAAAAAAAAAGTGACTGTAAGTGCATATTTGTCTTTTAAATGTGTCACTAACTATGAATATGGTCTTAGTACCTCTTTCAGCTAAAAAATAATTAAGAGTTTTAGATAATAGTTAAGGGTAGAAAAAGTCTTGTACAGAGAAGAAACAGATTGGCATATTAACACTTCAGTATTTTGTACTTCTTGTTTGTTCTTTTCAAAGTTTTTCTTGACCAGCCATGGTGGACAGTTGAAAAGCAACATGAATGAAAATGACAAAGGATGGGTCAACTGGAAGGTGAATAATTGAATATTTCTGTAAAAAGATACAAAGATAGCATATTAGAAATACTGTGGCTCTTTGTGTTTTTAATTAATTTAACTTAAATAATCCAAAGACTTCTTGTCTTGAATCTAGATTTGATTTTTCCTTGAAAAACTCCACATGTTTGCCTGGTTTTATTGAACAGACTCCATTCTCTGATAAACTAAGCAAGATTACTTGATTTAGGCAGTTCTGGTAGTTGTCTGTCTTGACAGTGCTCTTTTTTTCTTGGGGAAAAAGAAGACTTTCAAGTCATGATGTGATTCTCTTGTGTGCACCTTCACTTCCATTGTGCTGCCTCTCAACACTGAAGCGTTCTTCAGAAAAGTAGCTTGTCTCATAGTCACATTCATGTCAGTTTTCCTTGCGACTCCCTGTTAAATCAGTATTCCAACAACTTCAAATGAAGAGCACTTTGTGTAAATAAAGAGTTCTACTTTCACCATGTCTTGTGCGATAGCTGCTTTGCAAAAGGATAGCATAAACCTCTCTTATGAAACAAGTAATGTTAACTAAGCATTTACTTCTGGTTTCACGTTTTTAGAAAGGTGAACTTCAAAATTATTTTGACCCCTATGAGAAATATGGTAGCATTTGAAGATAATTACAAGAACTTAAGGATTTGTAAAGTTCTTTCAGGTTTCAGAAGATTTCCTGATGATTTTTACAAGTCAGTGCTGTAGGGACTGTGGATTATTTATGCAGAAATCAATCTACACTGTGCTGCGTACTTAAACATGAATGGGGGATGTGGAATGACTGCATACTATTGGATTTATTTTTGCTAGTTCCATCTTGGGTCTGTAAAGCTTGCCCAGCAATTCATCAGTTTAATCTAAGTTCTTTTAACTACCTTTTTTTGAGGATATCCAAATTAGAACAGAGCATTATAGTGAGCTAATAAAGAAAGAAGACCTAGTATATCTTACCTCAGATTCCCCGGATGTTCTCAGTGAGCTTGATGAGAAGAAAGCCTATGTGATTGGAGGACTGGTGGATCACAATCACCACAAGGTAAATTGTGGGTCCATTTCTTTGCAGCTCTTTTTTTCTTTTTTTTTTTTTTTTTGGCACCTTATTTGACATGAATGCTGTTCATGTGTAAACTAACAAAAATAAATAACAAAAAAAATCTTCAAAACAGACTTAGTTAAAAACAAAAAATATTTGAGGAAATGGGGGGAAAAAAAACTTGTGGTGGTAGCAGTGGCTTGTGCTCCAGAGTGCAGACATGCTGAGCTTTTTAGGATTTTATCTTTTCATTTTAAATATAGGAATGGAATGAATAACACTGCTCAGCTTACTGAGGGCCGTATTTTCAGACAGAAGGGTTTGGTTTCTGTTCATGCACTTGTGTATGTGTCTGTGCGTGTACACTTGTATGTGCGTGTGCCCATATATAGATGAAGAACAGGGCTTGAATCTTGGACGTCCTTTTTAAATGAGTTTGCTTGTCAGGAAAACTTGGCTAAGTAACACACATGCCTCAGGGATCTGGTTCCATACCTGTACATGGGATTGTGCTGTGTGGATCCGGAATGTCATGGAGAATTCAGCTGGGAAATTAAAGCACTGTTACTGCTTTTCTTCAAAGACACTCCTATGTAATTTCTGGTGACTCGTTTAATATTTCAATGTGATGCTAAAAAAAGGGATGGATCTTAAGCCTTACTAAATGATACTTGAGCAGTTAGTCCACAGTTAAAGACTAGGAAGGAGCTAAAGCAGATCCTTTGTATAGTCATTATGGTATAAAGTGTTTACACAGTTTTAAAGGGTATTTTTTGCCTGTCTTGGGCACAGGAGTTGCCAGTTTCAAAAAAGCAAACAAAATTTATTTTCCCTTTACTCTTCCTCTCAAAAAATAGCCAATTACTGTACTCTGAGTAACTTTGCACTTAAGCATAAACTCGCCTTTAAAACAGGCTATGGCTGACATGTTCTAGAGCTGCAGGTGCATGAACAAGTTTTATTTATGATCCTCTTGGATATAGTCAAAGTAGTAAGTTTTCCAAAGGTAGCCCTTGAAGCAGGTACTGTCTAACCAGGATAAGTTTCTTATTGTAAATATCTTCTAAAGCAAGATCATGGCAGCACTGGCAAAACTCTTGTCAGAAAATTATACCTACAATAATCTGTATGGGCTGATCTGAAATGGTGATTCTCAGTCCAGTTGTTTTGGTGTCTTTCCCACAGGGAATTACTTACAAAAAAGCTGTAGAGCAGGGAATTGGTCATGCACAGCTCCCGCTTGGAAACTTTGTCAAGATGAACAGTCGGAAAGTGTTAGCTGTCAATCATGGTGAGTTTTAAATCACAAAATGACTTTACTGTAGAATGTGCCCAAGATATTCAGAATTTGAACTCTCAAAATGTGCCCTGTAGTGCAGATACCTAAATCTTATCTTGTTGATATTTCTTGAATCTAGTTGCTTTTGGAATACAGTAATTGCCCCGACCTTTAAATATTTTTAGATATGGTTAAATGTAAAGGATGGTGCCTTAGCCACTTAGAAGTGCACCTCCTATTCTGTTCACTTGTCCCATGAGTAATTTTGGCATTCTTACCATCCTGGTCTTGTTTCCAGGCTTAATGTATAAGTGAGTAAAATGTTGGAAACTATCTTATCCCAGGGGAGGATAAATGCATGTGATGTTTTCACCTCTTTGGACAGCTTTGTTCAGCAGTAACTGCTTAGGTACCTGTAGACTTGCCTCATTTGGTATCAGCAGTGCTCCATCTGCTGAGCTTTCATTACTATATTTTTAGCTGTTTTCCTGGTTCTGTTTGAGGTATACAATTGCTAAACCAAGTCTTGAATACCACTCCTTTTAAACTTTCAGTTCTATTATTAGAATATCTTTCAGTGTCATTAAAGAAAAATACATGCAAAATGGAGCCTACCCAGACCGTTACGGAAATTTTTGACTTGGTGTCCAAGTCTTTATTTTGCCCACTCGAGGTTCTTCTGGTTTATCTTACCTTGCTTTATTTCAGTTTTATTTTATTATATAACACATTGCTCAGTGATAAATTTATTTTCTGAAAATGCCATTGATTGATGCCATTGATTCGCGTGATAAGATTATTTAAACGTGGAGGAGAATATAGCATAGTACAAGAGTGACAAGTTATCAGACTCCATGTAAATGTAAGATTTTGCATGTTTAAACTTTAAATGTTCCTTGATATAGACAAGAATAGACTTTATGTGTTATTCATCAAAAGTTATGATAGCTGTAGCTTTATACTGGAGTTTTTGTGCCATAATCTTATACTGACCTCTAGTGTTAACATTTTTGGAGGCTGTCTTCCACATGTTTGAGCGCTGGGTATAAATTGGATCACTTACATTGAGGTTTTCATTTATCTGCTTTATGGTCTTGTGTATGTTTCTTGTGCCAGACTTTTAAGCACCTGATTTTACTGCAGTTTAGTTGGCAAGATTTAATTTTGCATGTTGTCCTCCGTTGCCCTTTAAAAACATTTTCAAATTGCAGCTGAAAAGCTCTTAACACACAGACCCATTTTAAGGTAAAGATTATACTGTAGCAGTATTTTGCTTAAGGTTTTTGGGCAGGAAAATAAACACAACTCCACCACCACCAAAAGTGGCGGTACCTTTAGCAGCTGTAATTAAGGCTCTGGTATATATTGTAACCCTAATAGCTTACAAGCTAAATCAAAAAAGACAGCTTTCAAGGGAAGTGCTACTTGGCCTGAGTAAAGGGGGCAGAATTGAGCTTACTCTCTGGTCTCAATTTGTGGAGGTGAAAAGGAGATTTGCACTGAGGTTTTTGTATTTTGCTATGAGTAAATCCATCTCACTGCTTTGTGTAACTGTGTAATTGCTCACCCTTTCTGTTTTGATTCAGTCGTTCCGGCCTCTGGGTTCGCACCATGGGTGCAGAAGTTGAAGCTAGCACAGTACAGGGCTTGCAAGATGAGACTGTAGGACCTGCCTGGTCCCTGTGGAAGTACTTTTTATAGGTGGGAATTTGGAAAGTCCTGTAGAAGAAGAAACTCTTTGAACTGCCTTGTCAACCTTTGAAGGGTTTTAATTAAGTGGGCCCTCTGGTGGTGGGAGATAGTCATCGTTGTTAACAGAGGAATTTGCTTGTTGCTTTTTACTTGTAATCGTTCTCACTTGGGATCGAGTCTCCATATATTTCCACAGGCAGTTCAGTACCTGTGTTGCCATGTTAAAATGGCACATAGAATGCGTGTATGTGCGAAGTATTTGGTGCTAGAAAAATGACAAGGTGTAAGATGAGGATTATTTTTTTGACTCAATCTGGAATTTTTAAACTTGGAACATTTGAGATCCGTGTAAAATACTGTATGCAAAACACAACTGTAAGTGTAGCTGAGAGAGTTTGTTTCCTTCTGTTCAGGTTTGTATCCCAAGGCTTATACTTTGTAGTGTGTGTCACAAGACCATATTACTCCATTCCAATCTGCAAGGATGTCTACCAACCTTTCGCATTGCCTCTTTCTGTCCTTGCATAATGTTTTTGTTGCTATTGCAGCCCATCATAGAAGCCTCTGGTCTCCTGTGGAAGCCATCCTCTTTCCATCAGTTCTGTATTTACTATGCAGATAAAGGAAGCGCCAAAGCAAAGGAGAAGAAATGTGCTCCTTACGCTTTTCTTATCTCTTAAGCCACCATTTTTGTCACAAATGCTTTCTGCAGTAACTTACAGTGATATTAGTATAGTCCGTTGAGAGATTATACCTTCACAGTACATTTCAGGTGAATAACTTGCTTAGTGAAATGGCCAGCTCTTCACTGTCAGTGTCTCAGAGAGAGACGACTGTCCAGTAAACCTGGATCCAGGAAACCTCTTGTATATGTGACACTTTTCTGTAACTTGACTCTCAGTGAGTATGAGATCCATGCTGCTCCTCCGTTTCTGAATGCCTGCCTAACTCCGCGTAAGGTTTTTTTTTTCCCCTCCACAGCTCCTTTGATCCTTTCTCATATGCTGTCACTTGGTATTGAGAACGCTTGTAGTGGCTGCGTTCTTTGAAGTCAGCATTCTCTGGTGGTGTTAGCACTATTCCTGTAGCCTTAAGCTTGAAGAGCCACCCTTCTGTCCCAGATTTGTCATCCAAGTCTGGCTTACTCACCAGCCATAGGG